GCAACTCGGTCCAGCGAAGCGTTCACTCCAGCAGGAAGCGAGGCGGACGACAGCGCTTCTTCGTGGTTCGTTTTTCGTCCATTTATCTCTTTTTTTTTCTTTTTTGTTTCTTTTTTCAATTATTCTCTTTTTTTCTTTTTTTTTTTCTTTAATTTGCTTTTTTTGTTTTTTCGTTCGTAATTCTTTAATTCGTTGTGTTTTGTTTCAGTCTTTCTTTTGTTTTGTTAACTGAAAACTTTCCTCTTTCTTTTCTTTATTCTTTTTTTTTCTTTATTTGGTTTTTGGGTTTACTTCATTTTCTTTTTATTGTTTTTTTTTTTTCTTTTTTCATTATATTTTTTTTCTTCTTTTTTTTTCTTTTTTTCTTATTTGTTTTTGTTTTACTTCAATTTTTCTTTTTATTGTTTTTTTTTCTCTTTTTTTTCATGGATTTCTCTTTTTTTTTCTTTTCTTTTTTTTTCTTTATTTGGTTTTTTGGGTTTACTTCAATTTTCTTTTTATTTCGTTTTTTTTTTTTTTTTCTTTTTTTCATTATTTCCTCTTTTTTTCTTTTCTTTTTTTTTTCTTTATTTGTTTTTTGGTTTTACTTTTCATTTTCTTTTTATTCGTTTTTTTCGTTATCCGCTTTTGGCTTTATTTTGATTTAATGTGATTATCAATATTATCTTCCGTTTGTGTTTTTGTTTATGTTTATAATTCAGCATTTCTTAAAAATGATTTAATGTGAATAAAGAAGGAGAGGAGAAGAGAGGAAGAGAGAGGAGAAAGAGAGACGCATAGAAGAGAAGAGAGAGAAGAGAGAGGAGAGAGAGAAGAGAGAGAAGAGGAGAGAGAGAAGAGAGGAAGAAGAGAGGAGAGAAGAGAGAGAGGAGAGAGGGGAGAGGGAGAGAGAGAGAAAGAGAGAGAGAGAGAGAGAGAGAGTAGAAAGAGAGAAAGAGAGAGAGAGAAAAGACGGAAGAGAGAGAAGGAAACTGAGAGATAATGAGAGAGAGAGAGAGAGAGAGAAAGAGAGAGGAGGCGAGAGGAGAGGAGAGGAGAGAGAAGAGGCGAGGAAAAAGATAGAAAGAGAGAGAGATAGAGAGATTAGAGACCCAGAGAGAGAAAAAGACAAAACAACCGCGTGAGACCAGGGCCTGGAGAGGGATACGAAAGGGGAAAGGAAATTCATGGTGCGCAGAATCCTAAGTGCCTGCAGTCTCGTCGAACTCACAGGAGTAATTGTCACGATAAAAGACATACTTTATTCATTATTCGGAAGGAAGGAATGTCGGCCTCCTCCGCCCCCCTCGGTCACGTGACATATCGGAGGGGCGGGGCTACCTGACAATTCTCGCGCCGACACCGAATCGGCTAGGCGCCGCTGTGCTTGGCTTCCTCCCCCTTCGGCTTCAGGAAAATGTATGGGGCGGAATGGGAACTTCATGGTGGCATTGTGAATGGATGCGATGCTAGTTTTTAGGATGTATGGTGGTAGAGGGAAGTGAAATGAGAGAGAGGGGAGAAGGGAGTAGGAAGAGAGAGAGATTGAGAAGGAAGAAGGGGATAGAGAAGAGGGAAGGGAGAAGAGAGAGAGAGAGAGAGGAGAGGACGAGGAGAGAGAAGCGAGCAGGAGAGAGAGAGAGAGAGAGATGAGAAGAGAGAGTATGAGAGAGAGAGAGAGAGGGAGAGAGAGAGTGGGAAAAGGAGAGAGAGAAGAGATAGAGAGAGAGAAGAGATTAGAAAAGAAGAGATGAGAAACGAAAAAAAGAAGGAAAGATAGAGGAGCTTTGACGAGAACCAACCAGACAGACACCAGCAAGCAAAGAAAGATCCAGAACAAACACACAACACAAACAAACAACAGAACCAAACAACCAAAAAAAACAGAAAGAAAGAGAGACATCTCTCTCTCTCTCTCTCTCTCTCCTTCTTTTTGTTTTTTTTTCTTATCTCTCTCTCTCCTCTCTCTCCATCTTTTCTCTCTCTCCTCTTTTCTTCTCTCTTTCTCTCTCTTATATATATAATACTAGAACAACTAGAAAGAAAAGAGACATCTCTCTCTCTCTCTCTCTCCTTCTCCCTTTCTCTCTCCCTCTTTCTCTTTTCTTTCTCTCTCTCTCTCCTCTCTCTCTCTTCTCTCTCTCTCTCTCTCTCATCCTCTCTCACTCTCCTTTCTGCCTCTCTCTCTCGTTCCCTCTCCTCTCCCACTCGTCTCTCTCTATTCTCCTTTCTTCCTTCGTCTCTCTCTCATCCATCTCTCTCTCTCTTCTCACCTTCTCTCTTCTCATCTCGTCTCTCGCTCTCTCCTCGTCGTTCTCTCTCTTCCTCTCTCTCTCATCTCCTCTTCTCCTCCCTCTTCCGGCCAGTCACTCACTCTCTCTCTCTCTTTCCTTATCTCCAATCTCTCGCCCTCCAAAATCCGTCGTCCTTCTCTCTCTTCTCGTCTAATCGTCTCTCATGGCCTCTTCTCTCGGTACTCAGGATCGTCAATATATCTCTTCATTGTCTCTCACGTCTACCTCTCTCTCTCACGTACCTCTCTCTCTCTCTCCTCTCTTTCTCTCTCTTATAATATAATATATATATATTATATAATAGATATATATATATATATTATTAATATATATATATATACTAGAACAAATGAAAACAAAAGAGACAGCAGAGCGCAGGAGAACGCAGTGCAACCAGCCAAATGGGCATTAACCGCCCCCTGATGGCCTGAACGAGCCCCTGATTACGTGACTCCGGAAGAATAAGACCCCCCGAAAGGGCCACGGGCGGGTTCAAGGTCACTTCAGGAGGTCAGGTCATCCTCGCTGAAGTGATGTTCAAGGTCGTTCATTAATCACTTGAAGTGATGTTCAAGGTCACTTCATCATCGCTGAAAGTGGAATGTTTCAGGTCACTTCATCATCGCTGAAAGTGATGTTCCAAGGTCCACTTCAGGCGTCAAGGTCATCATCGCTGAGTGATGTTCAGGTCAACTTCAGGAAGTCAGTTCAACCATCGCTGAAGTTGATGTTCAAGGTCCACTTCAGGAGGTCAATTCAACCATCGCTGAAGTGGGTGTTCAAGGTCACTTCAAGGAGGTCAGTTCTTCATGCTGAAGTGATCTCCTGAAGGGGAAGTAAAAAAAAAAAAACCCCGGGAGAGAGTTGGGGAAAATCCTTGCATCTGATCTTAATTTTTTTTTCTTCTTCTTCTTCTCCTTCTTCTTCTTCTTTCTTCTTCTTCTTTCTTTCTCTCTTCTCGGGTTTCTCGTTGGAAAATGCGCGTGAATATCTGTTTTTTGTGTGTGTGTGATTTTGGTGAAGAAGGAATTTTTTGGTTCTGGATTCGTCGATTTGGTGGATTGTAATGAGAAGCGATTGGGAATGTGAAGTAGTATGTGTGTGTGTTCATATCAGCATAACATAAACACACAACACACACCACACACACACAACAACACACACCACAGGCACGAACAGATTCACGCGGCATTCCAAGAGATCCCGATATATATA